GTTTAGGTTGGATATTGGGGAAAATTCTTTCCTGGAAAGGTTTGTCCAGCCCTGGCACAGCTGCCCACGACAGTGCTGGACTCACCATCCCTGGAGGGATTTAAAAGCCACGTGGATGTGGCACTTGGGGACATGGGGCAGTGTTGGGGGAACATATGGACTCCCATGATCTCAGAGGACTTTTTCAACCTCAACAATTCTTAATGACTTTTATTTATCAGGAGGGATGAGGATGCAACTCCAGAGCTGCACAGAACTGCTGCAGTCCATGGCAGCACACAGCAAAAACCTGCTCAAGGCTGTGTCCAAGAGCTCAGTGCTCCTGAGGGGGTGACCCTGCCTGCCTGCAGATCATTAAATCAGACAAAACTCCAAGTGTGAAGAACACAAAAAAGACCCAGAACCTCTTTTATTAAATCTGCACCCACCAACTGGGCAAGATTCTCCCAGGGGGAACAGCACCAACACCACACACATCTGATATCCCCCCCACTGCCACTTTGCTTCTGGGCAGTAAAATACTGAAAACTTCTACCTGAGGTATTCAGAGCTTCCTAGAAAAACAGCAAGCAGAGGCCTACGTGCACAGGTCTGCTTTGGCTGTTGTTGATCCAGCACTGAGTTTAAGCTTAATAAAACTTAATTGCATGATTTCTTAAAAGGTCACATACACCTTTGAGGCTGGACTGGGAGAGCTGGGCTTACTTTCCATACTGGAAATACAGCTGTGCCTACAGCTTCGTGTGTGCAATGTAAGATAAATCCTAGAAATCACATCTCAGTTACATGCTGCTGTGTTTATTCCAAATCCAGCTCCAGCTCCAGGTTGGGCAGTGCCTGCTGAAGGACACGGAAGGTCGTTTCTTTCTCTCTGATCCCAGGAAGATCACTCAGATACAAATATTCTAGGTTCCTGTAAATATTTAAAAAGAAAATGGGTAACTACTATTAAATTGTTGACAGAGAAATTGGAGAAATTATTCTACTGCAGCTGTTTTGAGTATTTTAAATGGTGATTTATTCTACTAGAAGTTTGTTTCTGAAGTGGGTGTTTGGGGTTTTCAGCTGCAGTATCCAACTGCACCCCATTCTTGAGCACCCAGGTCTGTCCCAGACCCTGAGGCACAGAGGGTGACAGGGACATGTGAGGTGGAGGAAGCACTAAAAGCTACAGGACACAGAGCTGCTGCAGGAGAGGGATCAGCATCACAAGCCAAGCTGATCATTAATTATTTATCCTCGAGCCCAACCCACAGCCACCCCACAGCCTTATAGGATTGAAACAGCCCTGGAACAGCCAGAGCCCAGCCCCTGCACCCAGCACAGTCCCACAGAGCCTCAGCAGGGCCGTGGGAGCTCTCAGTGCCTCACATACGTCAGTTTGTGGAGTGCAAGGATGCCTTTGTCTGTGACATTCCCACAGGAAATGATCTCCAGCTTCTGCAGGCTCTTCTGGAGGTTGCTGGTCTCGCTGAGCCTCTGCAGACACTCGTCCTGTATGTACATGCACTTCTCCAGCTTGATATCTGTAACGTGCTCCAGCCCATCTGCAAAGCCAAAAGGGAGGATTTGCTTCACAATTCCAGGACCAGCCTGTGCTGGTTGTTAAATTCTCAATTTAATAACTGCCCCTAAAACCACCCAGCAACACCTTCCTTTATATAACAGGGCTGTAACCACAATCAATCTCCAAAGTCCCTCTGTGGTACTTCAGATTTAGGAAAATCTCGGGGTTTGGATCATTTTGGTAAGATTTCAAGAGCTTTGAAATGGTCAAGTAACAAAAAACCTACACAATTTTGGGTAATAAACAGTGACTCTGACATAACAAAGTGCTAATGCCAGAAATTCGGGGTCCCTTGCTATGAAGAAATAAAACAGCCTGTTCCCATTTTGGTTTCTGTTATTTAAAGACCACCTGAAACACCTGTTAATCTTTTATTTTTAGGAGATTTAAGAGAGCATGCTTTTTATCTGTCTTTGAAGACATCACAAATGCCTGGAGAATGAGCAGAATTACGACTTCAAAGCCACCAAAATCATCCCTTGGTGAAGAAGAAAAATAATATTTTTTTCGTGCTTTTTGCTACGAACTCATCGAAATTTGTGGTACTTCCTTAGTGCTACAGCCACTTCAGGTAAAACCTGAAACTCCCAATCTCTTTCCACTTCATACCACACCTCCAGCAAAACCTTAGGGACTGATAAATATTTGTAAAGGGGGAGAAAAACCCCAAATGATTCATCAGCATCTTACTGAGGAAGGAGAAAACAGCACCATTCTTTGACGTTAAAACGAAACCCATTAAGAACAATCTCCCTGTGTACATTACCCAGATAGTCAAATCCTCTGTACATGATGCAGGAGTCGGTGGCGTTGATGGCTTCGATCTTGTACTTGCCCCGGGGTCCCGTGGGGAGCCCATTGTAGTCCTGTTGCCACTTGGGCGAGCCCTGGTACCTGACCAGGGCCCCGCAGCGCAGCAGCCACTCCGAGGCCGCCCTGTCGGGACCCACGGCTCGGATCCGCTCGTGGTCCACCCTGCGTGACACACACAGCACCCAGAGCCAGCGTGAAAAACCGGGGGCGCTCTCCAGGTAAGTTTTAAAAAGTTTGATAAAAGATAATAAGAGCATTCCGCCAAGAGCAGAGAACGCTTCGTTAAATGCATCAACCTGTTGCGTATTCATAGACCTTCATGCATTATTCAAAATCACGCCCCCCCCACCAACCTGTAAATGAACATTTTAAATTTTTTTTCCCTTGTGGTTCCTTCTTGTTGGCCCACTCCCTGATAACTGAGATCAATAAATCCTTTCCCTGGAGTTCTGGTGTTCCTCACCCCTGTCTTCATCCAAATAGGATAACCCAAGAATGTGAAAAATGTCCCGATTATCTTTTTACCATTCTTTGAGTTAGTTACATGAACAAAAGCTTTTTACATCCCCATGTTGTAGAAAAATATATTTATCACACTACTCTAAGTTAATAACATAACTAAAAGAAACGATATTCATACAGCAAAGTTTTCCAACATTATGCATACAGCAATCATCTTAATATTTGCAAAAAGTCAATAATATTGTATGTACTTATAATAATAATGCTCCATAGCAAATACCTGGTTATGTGCACGGTCAGAGAAGGAAGGATGGGATTTACTGGAAATGGTTTGAGTAATTTTTGGATTGTGCAGTGCTTAGTCGTGAGGTTTTTTAACTTAAGTGGCAGATGCTTTTTTGGTAAAAAAAGAATACAAATACAACTGGACTGAACTGTGTTTCCTTCCCTGTCTGTAAGGGAAAAAATCTGTGCTACTGGTTAAGGTGGAGACCAGGATTTAGGGACGGGATCCATGTGGGCAGCTTGTCTTGGCCATTCCCGGGAAGGGGCAGAGCACACACCTTCCTCTGCAAGGTCACAGCTTTGGGATGGGAGGCAGATACAGAATGACCAACATTAGGATGGAAAGCAGATACGGAATGACCCCTTGCCAACAACCAACCTGCAACCTGGGGGGAAAGCGTTAAAGACAGAAAACGTTTTCTGCAGCATAGGGGCTTGGTTGTTCTTCTTTATAAACCGCGCAGAGAACTGAGGGATCTGATACTTAATTATAAACCAGCGACTCACTCTTACTTGTTGAACACAGCATTCAGCCATCCCCAGAAGGTTCTACAACCTCCCGGCGGCAGCGGCGGCTTCCTCAAGAGCGTCCCCAACGCCATCATCACCTTCTGGCAGGCGGCAGAGGCGAAAGGGCGATGTTGTTATTGGGATCGAGCAGCAGCGGGGGAGGCGGTGCCGCTGTCAGGGCCTGACCGGGGCTGCGATCCCGGCGGGGCCCGGGGCTGTCACCGCCCCCGGCGCCGAGCGGCCGAACCTTGCCCGGGGGCCGGAGCGGCGCTGAGCTTCCCAGCGGAGCAGGAGAGGGGAGGAGAAAAGAAGAGAAGAGAAGAGGAGAGGAGGAGAAGGAGGAGAAGGAGAAGGGGAGGCCGCGGCGCTGCCTCCGCCCCCAAGATGGCGGCGGCGCTGAGGGGCCGCGCGGGCCCGGGCGGGGCCGGGGCGCTGTGGCGGCTCCAGAGCCGGCGGAGCAGGTGAGGCCGGGGCAGCGGGACGGGCCCGCCTCACACCCGCGCCTTCCCCTCACCCTGTCCCTTCCCCTGTCCTAGGCTCTAAGCTTAACCTTATGCCTGTCCCCTGTCCCTAGCTTTCCCCTCGCCCCTTCCCATCTCTTCTTACCTCTTCTCATTATTCCCCTATCCCTTTCCGTGCCATTTTTCCCTGTCCTTTTCCCCTTCCCCTATTCCTGTTTCCTATATCTTCTGTTTGCTATATCACCTTTCCCTATCCCCTTTTCTTCTCTCCTATATCCCCTATATTCTCTATAGCCACTTCCCCTATATCCTTTATCTGCTATCCCTATCCCTTTCCCCCTTGACATTATTAATCATCTCTATCCCCTTTCCTCTACTCCATTTTCCTCTCCTCTATATCCCCTTTATTCCTTATATCCCCTTCCTTTATATCCCCTTTTCCTATCCTTTTCCCCATTCCCCTATTCCTGTCCCCTCTATTCCTCCCATCCCCTATCCCTCCCCTTTTCCCCCTTGGCCAATTCCTGTCCCCTCTATTCCTCACATCCCCTATCTCTACCCTTTTCTTTTTTTCCCATTCCTGTTTCCTATATCTCCTGTTTGTTATATCACCTTTCCCTATCCTCTTTTCCTCTCTCCTGTATCCACTATATTCTCTATAGCCACTTCCCCTATATCCTTTATCTGCTATCCCTACCTTTTTTCCCTTTGACATTATAATATCCACTTTCTTCTCCTCTCCCCTATATCCCCTTTATTCCTTATATCCCCTTCCTTTATATCCCCTTTCCCGATCCTTTTCCCCCTTGCCCTATTCCCGTCCCCCCTATTCCTCACATCCCCTATCCCTGCTCTTTTCCACCTTGCCCTATTCCTGTCCCTTCTATTCCTCACATCCCCTATTCCTCACATCCCCTATTCCTCACATCCCCTATTCCTGTCCCTTCTGTTCCTCCCATCCCCTATCCCTGCCCTTTTCCCCTTGCCCTATTGCTGTCCCTCTGGGGCAGTGCTGATGGCCGTGTCGCTGTCCTTGTCCCCGCAGCTCGTTCGACGTGGCCGTGGTGGGTGCGGGGATCGTGGGGCTGGCCGCAGCCCGGGAGCTCATCCAGCGCCATCCCTCGCTGGCCTTGGCCGTGCTGGAGAAGGAGCAGGAGCCGGGTACGGAGCGGGACAGGGACCGGCAGGAGGCTGTGCCCAAGGACACACAGCCACGATTCCATGGATATCTGTGTGCAGGGATCAGCTTTGGTAGCTGTGGGAGAGCACCTGCCTTTGTTGTTGGAGTGGGAAGTGTTCCAGGCCGGGTTGGACGGGGCTTGGAGCAGCCTGGGATAGTGGAGGGTGTCCCTGCCCATGGAACGAGGTGATCTGCAAAGTCCCTTCCATCCCAAACCATCCTGGGATTCTGGGGAGACTCTCCCCTAACAGGGAATTTCTTCCACCCTTTTCCCAAGGACGTGTCCTTCAGAAGAGAAGCAGAGCTGTCATCGATCTGTGCTTTGCTGCTGGGACTTCACATAGGGAGTTCTAAGTCAAAAAGTCCTGAGCGTTGCTGCTGTGCTGTGTACAAACTGCAAGGTGACTGCTGGGGCTCCAGCAGCACAGGAATGCACGAGAGAGGACAAGGAGGGGGAATAACCAGGATAAGGAGAAGTGCAGGTTGTGGAGGGGCACAGGCAGGTCTTGCATGGAGCTGGGAGATTCCTAAGGGACACACAGCAGTGATTAACTCCACACAGGACTTGTGAGCCCAAAATCTTGTCTTAAATAGCTCCATCAACCGGGCTATAAATTGCTCTTGAGATGCTCCATGAATGATAAAAAATGACTTTTTATCCCCAAGACACACACAAAGTTCTTAACAGCTGTGTGAGTGCCAAGCAAAAATGACCTTTGGACAACCACAGGTTAAGAGGGAGAAGAACCTGACCAAATGACTTCAGTAAAAATGTTTGTGGCATTTTTCACCTCTATTTTATCTATTGGTAAAGAGGAAATAGCAACCTAATCCAGTCTTCACAAATACTCAAAAATCCTCTCTGCTAGCATGTCCAAAGGAATTGTGGTTTGCTCAGATACTATGTTAGATGAGGCTTTAAGAGATGTGTCTCACTGTAAAAATAGGATTTTAAAAAAATAATTTTAGCCTGTAAAACATTTTGATTGATTGGCTTGTTCTTGAGAGAAAAACGTAGTTTTAGGGTTTTTTTTCCTCGTTGATCCAACACAATGCAGGCTGTGATGGATTATCATTAACCAGGGCTGGCTGTGTCATTGTTTCTCTAACCTTTTGAGGCCAGGGGAGGAATTAATTGTGCAGTTCTCTCACTTGATCATCTCTCATAATTGTGATTTAAGGCAGGACCTCAATTAACTCATTTTTCTGTCAGCTGAGGTGATTAAGTGGGAACAAATGTTTTCTAACAATGTGTTTTTCTTTCTCTTTAGCCCATCACCAGAGTGGACACAACAGTGGTGTGATCCACAGTGGGATTTACTACACCCCTGGCTCCCTGAAGGCCAAGCTGTGTGTGCAGGGGGCAGCTCTCTGCTACAAATACTGTGACCAGAAGGGAATTCCCTACAAACAGTGTGGGAAGGTACAGGAATTCCTGGGATTCCCTGCTTTACCCTTGCAAACTGCAGCTGTGTGATGTGTGTTACAGCACATGGCATAGGCCTGCTCCTGGATTTTCTCCACCCTCTTCAGGCTGCACATAATTTTATACATAAATGTGTATAATGTCCATAATCCCCTCCTGCCCCCAAATCATCCCTTCCTGCTGATGAAGAGAACCTGAGAGAAGGTTTTTCATGATTCTCCCCACCCTGCCTTCATGCTCTGAACCATTTTTAATTCAATGTGTCTTTGGTGCAAGGTGAGAACCAGGACTGGCAGAGCATTCCAGGTGGGATCAGACTCAGTGAAACAGAATTCTGTATCCATTTCCCAGTTGTTCCTAACACTCAGTTCAGGTTTTTGGGCATTGAGATGCTGTTTCCACGGGGCTCTCTATCCTAACCCCAAGGTTTTGTCCCTGAGGGATAAATTTGAATTCCATGGTTTTTCTCAGAGCTGTGCCTGCTCCGTGCTCCCTCTGCTGCCACGCTGGGCACAGGGTGGCACTGTGGGTCTGTGCAGCCACACACCTGAGGGGACAGCCTGCTGCCAGCTCGGAGCTCCTGAACGTGTCAGCTGGAGCCTGGCTGATGCTGAATTTGTGTATTTTGTACCAACAAGAGGGTGGCAGCAGGGACAGGGCAGTGCCTGGAGAATTCCTGAGGGAGCTGGGAAGGGAATGGAGAATTCCTGAGGGAGCTGGGAAGGGAATGGAGAATTCCTGAGGGAGCTGGGAAGGGGCTCAGCCTGGAGAAAAGGAGGCTCAGGGGGGCCCTTGTGGCTCTGCACAACTCCCTGACAGGAGGGGACAGCCGGGGGGATTTGGGATCTGCTCCCAGGGAACAGGGACAGGAGGGCACAAGCTGAAGTTGCACCACAAAGCTTTAGGTTTGTTATTGGGGAAAATTCCTTCCTGGAAAGGTTTGTCCAGCCCTGGCACAGCTGCCCAGGGCAGTGGTGGAGTCCCCATCCCTACAGGGATTTAAACACCCTGAGGATGTGACACTTGGGGACACGGGGCAGTGGTGGCCTTGGCAGTGCTGAGGGATCAGTTGGGCTCTTAGAGAGCTTTTCCAACCTCAACAATTCCATTATTCCATAATTCCCTGGAATGAACATTCCAGGGAAGATAATGGTAAAACTTCACAAGCTTTCCCTAAAGCAGCCCCAGGTTTGGAGAGCTTCACCTGTGAGGTGCCAGAGCTGAGCTGGTCCTGGAAGGAAGGATCATGGTCTGTGCAAACCTGGCACAGGTCATTCACAGCCTGGATTTGTCTCCTGTGATGGCTGTGAGCAGACTCAGTTCCACTCAGACCATGTCAGAACACGTCCTCACTCTCTTATCGAGGCTCTTTGAGGTTTGTGCACCTTGGGTTGAGTTCAGTTTTACTTTTGAGAGCATCCCAGTGGTTCTTTAAATTCATATTCTCTTCTTTCACATGCAGACTGGCAGTCTCAGGGTGCTTCTGGCAAATGTTATCAATTGCTGGTAACTCAAATGACAGTTTAGCATTTATTTTTAAATTCTCTATGATGTATTAGTGCTTCCTCAACAACAGAATTTTGTGCAATTTGATGGCACCATCCCTTTTTCACCCCCTGGATTCATTGTTCACTCATTCACTACTGCTTGAGCTTGATGCCAGACCTGCCCTGGCTCTGTTTTGCTCACTGCTGTGCCTTTTTTTCCTCTCCCAAAGCTGATTGTGGCCGTGGAACAGGATGAAATTCCAAGGCTCAAAGCTCTGTATGAGAGGGGGCTGCAGAACAACGTCCCAGGGCTGAAACTCATTGGAGCCAAGGAAATCCAGGAGAAGGAGCCCTTCTGCAGGGTAAGGGGTTACCACACTTCTAATTAGCTCCTAAGAGCTGTTTCTCAGCTGAAAACATCATTTAATTCAACACAAATATTTTTCTGGCCTAGAGGTTCAAGTTCAGTAGAGCCTGAAGATTCCTTTCCATCCATGAAAGTGGATTTGGATCAAGCCAATTTCAGTGAAGTTGGTGTGGTTGTTCTGTAGCATTTCTCAGCCTGTTTATTTTCCCAGCAGGAGGAGTGTGTGGAGTTTATGGAGCACAGATTTGTTATTGATTAGTCTGCCTTTGTTTGAAAGGAAAACCTGGATCTGAATTCCCTGTGCTGTTTCATCTGGCAGCTTGCTCTGGTGTAGCTGTGTGACTTAGGAGTGGTTGTAGGTACAGACAGATTTTTCTGGAAGAGAATTTTTTAAAATCTTTTGATTTTCCCTGTGAACATTTTGGATCTGCTGCCTAAAACATCCTTTGAGTGTTCCAGACCCTGCTGAGCACAGGGGGAGGCAGCAGCACTCCCTCCTCATGGCAGTGCAGATATTCCAGATGAAATATTCCAACCTTCACTCTGTGCCTTTAAAACCCTTGCAGGGACTGATGGCCCTTGATTCTCCCTACACTGGAATTGTGGATTACAAACAAGTGGCCCAGTCCTATGCCAGAGACTTCCAGGAAGCAGGTGGGACAATCTTGACTGATTTTGAAGTCACTAACATGGAGATGGCCAAAGAAAGTTCACCAGAAAGTGAAGATGGTAAGCCTGAGGTTTTTTTACCCTCCATTTACTACAAAGTTTTTGTTCAAAACACAATTGTTTTAACTGAAATGACACTTCTGAATTTTTGTGTCTCCTAGGGATCAGAAAAAATGCAAAATTATCTTACTCATTTGGGGTTTTTTTTGCAGGCAGGTCACCCTTCAGCTGAAACATTTAAAAATGATGGAAGAAAGTGAGAATAAAATGGAGAAATAAAGTTGCTCTCTCCTCTTAAAATCAGATTTATCTGAATCTTGCATGTTTATTCTTGTGATAGTGATTTTCCTTATGCTGAAGGCAGATTGCATCTGTGCTAGCAATAGGGGGAAGAATAAAAACCCTATTAATTAATTAATTAATAAATACAGTCATGTCCAACAACATTAATTATGACAACAGTAGTTGTTCCATAGCTTGGAAGAGATTCCAGAGAAAAAATTCCTTCCTGGTGACAAACTGCTTGTTCTGTCAGTTCTCTGTTACTTTTCTAGTAATTCCTTCTCTTGTCTAATTCCATTTCAGGGCTGAAATACCCAGTCATTGTTAGGAACAAAAAGGTAAGGGTGAAAAAGAAGTTTTAATTCCTTCCAGGAAGCTGCTTCTCCTTTTCTTAAGATTTTTTTTTTTCTGGTGGATTAATCATCTCCATAATAAAAAAAGGTTAAAAAGCTGCTGTTCAGCAACTTAATCAGTTTGATAAAACAACTGCAATCAGTTCTTAACAATGAGGATGTTCAGATGAATAAATAAGAATAATGATGTAAAATAATGAACTGTAACTTTGTGCTGCCTAATGTTTAACATCCCTTATCTGCTTTATTTGCACAATCTGATGCTTGTGTTTCCAAGAACTCCTTTATGACTTGTTCATTTGGTGACAAAAACCAGTTTTCATGTTTACTTTTGGGCTCTGGCATCCATGGAATGATAAGGAGGCTTTTAGCATCATTTTATTATCATTTAATCATCAGAAGTGCTTCAATAAAACAGGTGCATGACAGGTGCTGTTCCTGCAAGTCAGGAACTGTAATTGTCACCCCTTCACCTTCAGGAGGGAATATCTGCACCAAAAACAACCTCACAATCCCTCTGGTAGTTTTAATATTTAGTTCTGCTTCTTTTTTTTTTTTTCTTCTATTTTTTGCTCTTTCATTAAAAAGTAGCTCCCAAAATCTGTTAAGATTTTTCTACCAAATACTGGTATTTTTTTCATGCAACCTTTTTTCGGTTGAAGAAAAAAAAACATAATATTTAAAAACAGCTACTGTACTAAATAAATAGATAATAGTTATTTGTTTGTTTGTTTAAATGGTAAAGTGTTTAATATTTAGCAGCTCTCCCTACCTGTGTGCTGTCAATTTGTGTTGCTGCTCCCACTCAGTGGGGTCAAATCACTGAACAGCCTTATTTAACTTAATTAAATAAATGGCTGTTTGTAAATGTGGTAACTGCACCCTTAAACATCCTCATTAGTGGCTGGTCTTCATTTCCTTCTGTCTTCACTCAGAGTCAGGATTTAAAACACAAAGGAGACAAATTTCTCGTGTTTGGGCTTGGTTGTTTATTAAATCTTATCTAAAGTACAGAGAATTCTGTAACACTCATAGATTCCAGCTAAAAGTGAGCAGAATGGAGATGGATCCAGCTGGTTACAAGGTTTTTTAAAGCTAAACAGTCCAATAGAGAATTAACACCGATATTATTGATACTTTTGATCTAATAACCAAACTCCTGTGATCTGCAGTGCAGCACTGACTGTCCAACCAAAAATACCTGAAATAATGGAGAAAGGAGATAAAATAAGACACCACCCAAAATCCTCCATCTTGTCCCATATCTTTTACTATATTCTAAAACCCCAAATTCCAAACCCTTCACCGTGTGCAATCACACACTTCTATTTCACTCCACACCCGCGATTTTAATTTCATAATTCAAATTTGGAGCCTTCTCCAAGGGCTCAGCTCCAAAGCAGTGTTCTGCAGGGGGGCAGTGCCTGACAGCACAGAAAGCTTAAAAACCCCCATTTTTCTGGGTTGGATTATTTCTGTGTGTGTTGTTTGTTTTTTTTCAAGCAGAAACATTGAATTTCAATGTATTTTTTATTTTTTTTTTTTGTCCCCCGCAGGGTGAGGAGCTCTCCTGCGGGCACATCGTGACCTGTGCGGGGCTTCACTCCGACCGCCTGTCCCGGATCAGCGGCTGCAGCCCCGAGCCCCGCATCGTCCCCTTCCGGGGGGATTATTTGGTGCTAAAACCAGAAAAATCTTACTTGGTGAAAGGAAATATTTATCCAGTACGTACCCCACCTTGGTTTGTGTGTCACGGTGTGCTCTAAGAGCTGCTAAAAATGCAAAAAAAAAAGGAAAAATCTGGTGGTTGTTTCTGTCAGTGCCGCACACACGTGCATGGAGACTCGGTTTGTGACAGGACACCTTGGATTTTGTGAATTTTTCAGGAAAACATGGAAGTACCACGTGGGAAGTTATTGCCAGTTGTTTTGTTTTGTTTGTGGTTTTAGGGTTTTTTTGGTTTCTTTTAATAGAGAAAAGATGGAGTATCACATTGCCACATGTCCAGAAAAGTCTAAATTATTTCTGTATGTCCTAAAATAAATCTCTAGGCAGGATTCAGAAGTCAGGGAGAGATAACAGTAAATTATTCTTTATTATTTATTATTTAAATAATTATAACTGTCCTGTTTAATCTCTTTATTGATAATAAAATAAAGGACAAAGGGGTTGACTGTACCCTCAGGAAATTCACAGATGACACTGGAGGTGTTTCCCAACCTAAATTATTCTGAGATTCTGTGATGAATTACTGATGAAAGGTTTAATCTTTTGTGCTAATACCCAACACTCAGATTTAGGTATTTTCCTCTCAACCTTATTTTTGAATTTGCTGATTTTGTCATAAAAAATAGATGTGGGAGAAAAAGGGACAACCTTTCTACCACCTAATACAGACAAATGATGGGATGAAGAGGAGCAATTCCAGACAGAAAATGTAGTTACAGAGCAAGTGGAGAGAATTCCTAGGCAGCATTTTAGCTAATTCTGTACATTTAAATACTGATTTTCTGAATATGAGATTAACTTTGCCTGCTAAACTCTGGATTTTTGGGAAAATTGGAGTGCTGGGCATTGCTGTTTGTCTGATCTCACCTGGGAATGATTCAGGATCCTCTCTTGGAATGGGAGGGAGAAAGTGGAACAAAAAAAGAACATGCAGATATTTATTACTAGCATTAACCAGGCCTGCTAATTTCAGGCTGTTTTTTACATACCAGTGAGGGTTTCCTAATATTTTGTATTCTATTTTATTGCAGTATAATTACTCCTGGTGAATAACATCAGGGTGTCATGGTTTATATCCTGAGATATCATGTGGACTTTTTTTTCCCTGTTATTTGTTTTCCTTTCCCCTAAAATTCAGCTTTACCTGGCCCTGCTCTGTTCTCCAGTGTTTTAATTAATGCCACAACTGCACAAAGAACAAGAAGCAAAACCAGCTCAGAGCCAATTCTGAGCTTCTGTGCCTCAGAGTTTTGTTGCTGTGGTTGGCAATAAAATGGCAAATTTGCTGTTTGTAACAGCTCTGATCACTCCTGTGTGTCCCATTCCAGGTTCCCAACCCTCGTTTCCCATTCCTGGGATTCCATTTCACTCCCAGGATGGATGGCAGTATCTGGCTGGGCCCTAATGCAGTGCTGGCCTTTAAGAGAGAGGGCTACAAACTCTTGGACTTCAGCCCTGGAGACTTTTTAGATGCTGTAACCTACAGGTAATGCCTTGTATTTGTGTCTGCTGGGTGCTCTTGTTGAAATGTGAGCCATGGCAGCCACTTCCTGCCCAAAATCCTGCTTTTCCCACACTTTTGGTGTGTTTAAAGACAGTTGTGCTGAGAAGGGTGGACTTCTCCAAGACATTTGGCTTCTCTTGGCCTCATATTTGAATTTTCTACCAGGACATGTCTCAGCCAGTCTGGGAATGTGGCTGCTCATTGGAAGGTGCTGGTGGAGCTGTTCCAGGGTTGGTTTTGGTCCAGTGCACTGTGATAACTTCATCAACTTAGCCAGCATCATGAAATACCTGCAGAGGGTGCTGGGAGGAGAGAAAGGCTGGGAGAGCTGGGAATGTTCACCTGGAGAGGAGAAGGATCCAGGGAGAGCTCAGAGCCCCTGGCAGAGCCTAAAGGGGCTCCAGGAGAGCTGGAGAGGGACTGGGGACAAGGGATGGAGGGACAGGACACAGGGAATGGCTCCCACTGCCATTGGATGGGATATTGGGAATTGGGAATTCCTGGCTGTGAGAGTGGGGAGGGACTGGAACAGAATTTCCAGATTTGCTGTGGCTGCCCCTGGATCCCTGGGAGTGCCCCAGGCCAGGTTGGACATTGGGGTTTGGAGCAGCCTGGGACAGTGGAAGGTGTCCCTGCCCAAGTTGCTCCATGGCCTGGAACTCTTCCAGGACTGGAATTCAGAATTAATTCAGTGCCACAGCTCTGTGAACAACGTTTGTTGAAGCAGAGAAGAGCAAACATGTATTTCTCCAATAAAAAGCATTATGTGATTCCTGATTTTGGGAATGGGAACTTGTGCCCTGCAGTTGCATTTGCTGCCTGTTTCAGCAGCTGCAGCTGGTGCATTTTGAGGCAGATTTTCCCTCACTGCAGTTGTTTCTGTCCCTGCAGTGGGCTCTGGAAGCTGGTGCTGAGGAATGTGTCCTATGGCCTGGGGGAGCTGTACAGAGCCTTTTCCCTCAGTGCCCAGGTGAGGCAGCTGCAGAAGTTCATCCCTGAGGTCACCACCAATGATGTTCTCAGGTAAAAGAGACTTCTCCTGGTTGGGAAATCTTGTATTTGAGTAGCAGAAAACGTGGCAGGGGTTTAGTCCCTTCCTCCACCAAAATATGAAACCAAAGCGTGGAGCTGCCCTCCAGCTTGGGGCTCCCAGCACAGGAGGGAGCTGGAGCTGGTGGAACCAATCCTGGATGATCACAGGGATGGAGCAGCTCTGCTGGGAGGAAAAGCTGAGAATTTTTGGGATTGCTCAGCCTGGAAAGGAGAAGCTTTGGGGTGAGCTCACTGTGGCCTTGCAGTACTTGAAGAGAACTCACAGAAAGATGGAGAGGGACAATTTACAGAGCCTTGGAGTGGCAGGACAAAGGGGGAATGGCCTCAGACTGACAGAGGAGGGCTAGATGGGATATTGGGAAGAAATTCCTGGCTGTGAGGGTGGAGAGGCCCTGGCAGAGCTTTCCCAGAGCAGCTGTGGCTGGCCCTGGATCCCTGGCAGTGCCCAAGGCCAGGTTGGACACTGGGGTTTGGAGCAGCCTGGGACAGTGGGAGGTGTCCCTGCCATGGAGTGGGATGGGCTTTAAGGTCAGAGATTGGACTTGATGGTCTGGGAGGTCTTTTCCAACCTCAGTGATCCCATGACTGCCAGATACCCCCACTCTGCCTCCTGAGTGTTAAACCTCCCCCAAAATGTTTTGTCTCCCCTCTCTGCCCTCCTCGCTGTCTCCCTGGACCCCTTCTCACAGGAATTGAATTCCTGACTCGGGACAGCATTGTCCTCCTGCTGCTGAGCTCCTCCTTGTTTTTACAGGGGTCCCTCTGGAGTGAGAGCCCAGGCTCTGGACAGCGAGGGGAACTTGGTGGATGATTTCGTGTTTGACGGAGGCACGGGGGAGGTGGGCAGCAGGATCCTGCACGTCAGGAACGCTCCTTCCCCCGCCGCCACCTCCTCCCTGGCCATCGCCCGCGCCATCGCCGACGAGGCCGAGCGGCGCTTCCAGCTCTGAACCCTGCCAGGAATTCAGGACACAGAGCCACCAGGCAGCACGGCTGGGCAGTGCCCGAGCTGCCTGGGCAGCGTTCAGTGCCCACACAACTCCTCAAGCATCACGGCGTGGTGTGGCAGGGGAGGTTTGGCAGCCGTGGGAGGGTGTCCAGCCCCAGGCAGAGCCTCCGTGCTGGATTCTCCACGTGGATTTCCCCACGCCCGTGCTCACAACGTTGCCTCCTCAGAGAAGAGCCACGGGGCGTGGGGTGGCTCTGGGTGTGCTCTGATTGCATTTCAGTCGGAGTCTGCAGTCCTCTAGATTACACGGGAGTAATGGAATAGAAGGATAAGCCCTGCTTAAGGGCCCTGCTGATACGGAATTAAAGGCTTGATCAGAGATTGAGAACAATATTCAGAGCCTTCGACGTGAATGTAGAATATTTCACAGAAAAATAAGCTTAAAGAGGATTACCAAACCCAAGTCAATTTAGATCTGCAATTCAGATACTCTGTCTGATCACTGTCTGTATTTTTGATGGAGCAGAAATGAAAATATGGATACAAACAATCACTTTTCATTTAATTTACAGCTGGGAAATCATCGTTGATCAGAATCTTCATCAGTGGCTTTGGGTTTCTTCCAACCTTTAAATGCTGGTAATGCAAAAGGAGCTGATCTTTGTCCAGCCAGTTGAGCAATCCAGGGAAAATGGTCTTTGGAACAGGAAATGTGAAGGGAGGGAAGCTCCAGAAACCTGCCTTGAGTCATGTTTGGTATTGCTTCCCTTGGAGCAAGAGCAGGGATGAGTCAGGAAGGTTTTCCCATTTCCCCTGAGCACAGGGGGAGCTCAGCCAGTGCTGGTGGCTCCTCTGAACTCCATGGACAGCAGTTTTTATCAGAGATAAACCTGCAGGAGTCTGTGTGGAGAGAGATGTGGAATAAATTCAGTGTTGAGCTGAGGATCTGGGAGCGTTCTGCAGAATTGCTGTAAAGCAGAATTTTGTGGCCTCAGGGCCAAAGTATTGAGGATTTTATAGCAGAGGCTCACAGGATGTTGGGTAACACAGATAATTGTGGGGAGTTTGTACCAGAAAATTGAACATTAATTTTTCCTTTAAAAGTCGTTTTCTGAGCTCCTCTGATGGGAATGGGTTAGTACAGGAGGGCAGCTGTGAGGCTGATTTTACTGTACAGATTGGAGACACTTTTTGAGGGGAAAAAAAGAGCTTAACCTGCCCTTTTTTGAAATTTTTATTTCTCCTTATTTTTTCTAATAGTAAAATCTACTTCACCAGCAAACCGACTGCTGGAAATTCAAATAACAACCCTTTCAGAGCAAAGTTTGGGTCACTTTAGGCAGAGATTCAGCTGTTCCAAATCTTCCAGTGCCACAGGGCTGTGTAAAACTTCCCACAGTGGAACAATCCTGTCTTCCCTCCCTGCCAGAAGTGTTGCCTATCAACAGTAAATCCTACAAAAGGATTGCAAAAGCCACTTCCTCCCACACGGGGTGTGGCCCTGACATGTATTAACAGAATAAAGAACATTAAAATGCAGACAGAGACCAGGGGGAGTCCTAAATCAGCATTTCCCTGTGCTGCCCGCTGTGCTTTTTCCTCTCAGGTGATGATTGTTTGGGGGTAAAGTTTATTTGAAACTTGAATTATGAACCTTGATGTAGCATTCTGTGAAACAGAAATCTTTTTCAGAGATAAGAGTTTTACACTTTTGTTATAAAAATAAGCTCAGAGATTATGATATCAGGGTTTCAGGCATCAATTTTGCTGCTCACAAAGTGTGAAAATGTATGAATTTATTTTCCAAATGAGCCTCACTTTGATGATTTCATAAATGTGCCTTTTATGATTAAAACAATGTGGTGGGGTTTTGTTAATGCTGTCAAGTCTGTGTATTTCTCCTGACTCAGAGACAAGTTTCACTGGAATTTGCTAATTCTCAGCTGAATTAGGCAGGATATCACTCTGTATAACAGGAATTACTTCAGGTGGGGGACACATGACCAAACTTGTCTTCCTGAATTATCTTATCTCAGCTTCTCACACCTCACAGCTTCTCCTCACTCGCCAGGACTGCTCTTAAGGCTGATCTGGGCTTGTTGTGACAGGTGGGATGAGAATTCCTGAAACTCTGAATAAATGGACCCAACACAATTTGTTCCCCACGAGTGTTGCAGAATCATAGAACCCCAGACTGGTTTGGGTTGGAAAGGACCTTAAATCTCATCCCATTCCCACCTTCCAGGCTGCTCCAAGCCCTGGCCTTGGACACTCACAGGGAACAATTCCTTCCCAATATCCCACCTAAACCAGCAAGGTCAGTCCTAAACTCTAAAAAGAGTAGGAACTGTGGCTCTGTGGCTTGTGCCAGCATCATCCCATTATTACTTTTTATTTTTGCTCACAGTTTGGGTTTGAGGAAGAAGTGTCTTTCCCACAGAAATAAATATTTTGTTGGGAACCTCTCAGGCTGCTCTGGTGTGGCAGGAAGGTCAAGCCACAGAGCAGAAGGAGCAGTTTGTGCCTCTGGAAACATCAGGATCCTCCAGGAAATCTGTTCCAAAGAAGGATCATTATTTTACTGGCAGGAAGGCACATTTTCCCCCCTTTGGTTTAATTTATCCATTCCCTCTGTGGATAAGTCTTAAAATGGGGAGTGGAGGGAATATAAAGGGTGAGGTTTGAATATTAGACTGTCAGGAGGGAAATGAGGGAAAATTTGGCTGGATTTGGGTGATCAGTGGTGAAGGGAACAGTGACACTGGTGCTTTGTGGAATAGGGAGGGAAATTCCTGCCAGGTATGGAGAGAAACTGCTGGCAGGTAGGAAAACATCCTCCAAAGAGGGAGGAAAACTGCATCCAGGTAGGGATGGAAACACTTCCAGGTTGGGAGAACATCCTTCAGGTTGGGAGAAGAACAAATTCCAGCTGGGGAGGAAAACAGGCTCCAGGCTCTGAGAAAAATTGCCTCGAGGCAGGGAGAACAGACTGCAGGTAGGAAAAACAGGCTCCAAGCAGGAAGAAGAAGAGTTTCTCTCCAAGTAGGGAGAAAAACTCCTTCCAGGTAAGAAAACAGTCTCTAAATAGGGAGGAAAATGCCTCTAAATAGGGAACAGAAGAGAATTCAGGTAAGGATGGGAACAGCCTCCAGGTAGGAAGAGGAACATCATCCAGGCAGGCAGAGGCAGAGTCTCCAAACAGGGAAAAACACAGCCTGGAGGGAGGGAAATCGCATCCAGGGAGGGAGAGGAACAGCCCCTAGGCAGGGAAAGAGCCTTCAGAAAAACTGCTGCCAGATAGGGAAATGTCATCTGGGCAGGGAAATCTCTAGGAAGGGAAATATCCTTTGGGCAGGGGAACATCCCCTAGGCAGGGAAATATCCCCTAGGTAAGGAAACATCTCCCGGGCAGGGAAATTTTCTCCCAGGTAAGGAAACATCCCCCAGGTAGGGAAGGAAATCTCCTCCGGGCAGGGAAACATCCCTTAGGTAAGGAAATCTCTCCCTAAGTAAGGAAACATTCTCTAGGTCAGGGAACATCCCCGGGCAGGGAAATCTCTCCTAGATAAGTAAACATCCCCCGAGTAAGGAACTCTCCCCGGGCAGGGCAATATCCCCTAGATAAGGAAATCTCCCCTAGGTCAGGAACCCTCCCGTGGGTAGGGAAATATCCCCTAGGTAAGGAACTATCCCCCAGGTCCGGCGCTCTCCCGGGGCGGGGAATTTTCCCTTGGTTCGGGAATTTTCCCTCGGTTCGGGAATTTTCCCTGGGTCGGGAGCTCTCCCCTGGGTGGGGAATTTTCCCTCGGTTCGGGAGTTTTCCCTCGGTTCGGGGGTTTTCCCTGGGTGGGGAATTTTCCCTTGGTTCGGGAATTTTTTCTTGGTTAGGGAGTTTTCCCTGGGTCGGGAAATCTTCTCTAGGTCAGGAGCTCTTCTCTGGGTGGGGAGTTTTCCCTGGGTAGGGAAATCTTCCCTAGGTCAGGAAATCTCCCCTAGGTCAGGAAATCTCCCCTAGCTCAGGATCTCTCCCCATCTCGGGCGCTCTCCCCGGCCCGGGCGCTCTCGGTGCCGCAGCCCCGTCCCCGCTCGCTGCCGCAGTTCCGGGCTGTGCCCGCAGGGGGCGCGCGGGGCGGGCGGCGCAGGCGCGCAGGGCGGCGGCCGCGGGCGGCGGCGGCAGCGGGGCCGCAGCGAGCGGGGCCCGGCCCGGCCCGTCCCGACCCCCGCCCGGCGCCTCCCCCCGCCCCGAGCGGGCCCCGCCGAGCCCCGAGCGGCCCCCGCCGAGCCATGGCAGCCCGGCCGGGCGGGTGAGCAGCGACACCGCGGCGGCCCGGCCCCGATGCGGAGCGGCCGCCATGCAGCCGCCGCCGCAGCCTTACGAGTTCCTGGGCGAGGAGAACGGCCCGAAATGGCGCGGCCTCTTCGTGCCCGCCCTGCGCAAGGTCAGTCCCGGCGGCACCTGCTCCGAGCCTGCCCCGCGGCCCGGAGCTCCGGGCAGGTGGAGCCGCGGCCCCCGCCCAGCCCTCAGGCAGCGCCGGGAGGGCCCCGAGCCCCCTCAGGGACAGCCGGGGGTGCTGAGGCTGAGGAGGCACCGGGCGGGCGCTGCTGCTCCCTCACCTGCGCTCGCTCAGGTTCGCTCTCCGCTGTAACTGGGGCTTTCGCTTCCAGGGATTGGTATCCCGCACTGGTTTGGCTTGGAAGGGATTTAAATCCCACCCAGTGCCACCCCTGCCATGGGCAGGGACACTTTCCGCTATCCGGGGGTGCTCCAAGCTGGCCTCGGACACTTCCAGGGATCCAGGGGCAGCCACGGCTTCTCTGGGCAGCCTGATAACATTGCTGATGTGCAGGGGAATGGCATCCTTCCTCCCTTCCTCCCGTCCTTCATCCCTTCCTTCATCCCTCCCTTCACCCCCTCCTTCATCCCTTCCTTCATTCCTCCCTTCCTCCCTTCCTTCATCCCTCCCTTCATCCCTTCCTCCATCCTCTCCCCACACCATTTCTCCTGGCAGCTTTTCCAGGCTCTCTCCCGAGCCGGATTCCTTCACCTGAGGTGTTCCTGACCCTCAGGGGACACCTGTGGGAGCCACCTGTGGTGCAGGACAAAGCCACCCTGTGACACATCTGCCCAGTTGAGAGAAGCCCCACAGGAGGTGAATCCGTATTTTTTAGGATGGTTTTGCACAGCAGGGAAGCTCCAGCCCACCCCCCCCTTCCATAGGACACCCCCAGCAATTTAACCCCTGCCTTAAATTGAGACTGAAGGGAGCAGTGCCCTGCTCTGTGTCATTTACAAAGGTTGAGGATTATTCCATAATTCTGACCATCATTATCTGCTGATCTGCATCTCTGACTGCCATACAAATACTTTAGGCAGTGGTGAGTGGTTTGTCTCTTTTTCCCAAGAATAGATGTAGTGATGCTGTTGGATAATGATTCTCCTTTCTTTTTCTTTTTTTTTATTTTTTTAGTAGAGTAAAAGACTTGCATTTGTTTTAGGTGCCTGTCTAAGTAGTCTTGTGGCTGGCATAGAAACCACTAATTGCCTGTCTGAAGAATCCTGGATTTTCTGCTCTTTACCCTAAAATCTCCTCATAGTAGCTGCTTTCCAATGTCTTAGAGAATGCCAGGCTGTTCTTTTCCTGATCTCTCTGGAATCTGACCTAAAGCAGCCCCTTAACACCAACCAGCATCTGCCCAAACGTGAGCTACAGCTGCAAAAAGATTTCCTGAACGTTTAGTGGTGTTTCCATCATCCTAAAATACAGATAACTGCACAAGTTGGTGAATTCATGCTGCTTTACCAATTCTATTTGTGCATTTAGTTTTGGTGAAACGGAATTTCAGCTTTCTGAAGCAGAAGAAACGAGGTTGTGATGCCAGTGACTGCCTGTAAAAATGTGTATTTGCTTATAGCCAGGGTTTTTTTTTTCTCCCTGGGAAAGTTCCTTGTCTGCAGGACCCACCCTGGAGCATGAAGCAATCGGGCTGTAATGTGCTTTTCTGGTGTGAACACACAGTATCAGTGAGTCAACCCAAAATTGTATCGTTGTCAGGCTGCTGGGGAAGCACTCTCAGTTTTCACACCTTTAAAAGACACTCAAAATAAATTCTGGAGATTTAAAATGAGCAGGAGATTATCCAAAATAACTATTCCATTACTTCTAGGGGACCTGAAGAGCATAGCACTGAATCCAGAATGTGAAAGCCTCACATTTTCTGTTTATTTCCCAATTCATTAAACATCATCACTGCTGTTTGCAGATCGTTTGTGATTTTGTCCTGAAGAAGTTTAAAAATCCACTTGTTGGCCAGCTGGTTGCTTTGTGATGAAAACTTCAAAGAGATTTTAGTATTTTTTTTTAGTTAAACACCTGGAATAGAGGGGTTTTTTAAAAATTCTGAAGCTGTGTTTTTAATAACCTGGACATTATTTCCCATTCCTGGAAGCTTTTCCTGTAAATGAGCACTTTTTGAAGGAGAGAGGAACAGAAAACAGAAGCAGAAAAAGAAGATAGGTTTTGGTTCTCTTTGTGCATGTTAAAGTGTGAAAAATACTTAATTCTAGAATGCACAAAGATGTGGAGCTGGATAAGGAGCCCATGCAGTTCACTAAAAATAAAGAATATTTCTTTATTGCTTGGATTTTAAGTCCAGAACATGCTTTGAAGAGCCCCAGGCTCTTTATTATACACTCAGCAAGTTTAAGGTAACTTCTTTTTATCAAATCACTTTTAAACTCTTGATTTACTTCAATTCTATGCAGTGGACACCTAAGGATGGTAAAACAAATCAGTTCTTACTTTAATACATGAAAAAAAAGTGAGACTCTGTCTTTTGAACAATATTTTATATGCATGTATTCTCTTTAAGATTAGTAGAGAGTGTCAAATTTGACCTTAGAGTGGGAGTCTTTTTAAGAAAAACCCAAAGCTAAACGGTAAAACATCTTTAAATCCAGATTTTATATATTTATATACCCACATTCCTTAGCACTGGCACGTGAGAATCTTGTAAGCTGGAAAATTAAAAGCAGTTTCATGTTTTTCCATCTGTTCCAGCTGAGAGATGGACAAGCACATCCTTGCTCTAAAACATTTTATTTTCTTCTGCTGCTCTGCTGGAAATCTAAGCAGGGAGTGAGGGGTAATTCGATATAAAATCCTTTCAGAGGAAATGAATTAGAAGAAAACAACATTTTGATGTGATCACTGAGGTTTAGTGACTTGAGCTGCTTGGAGCAGGTAAATCACCTCAAACACATCCTGATTAAGGCTTTGAACCTGGGAACTGAATTTTAGTTCTTTAGAAATCAGAATTTCTCATGGAATAATTCTGGGAGCTGCTCCAGCAGGAATCCCAGAGGGTTTGGATTTGTGGGATGTGACCCTGGCAGGGCTGGTGCTTGGGGATTGCTGCTGGAGGGTTCTGCTCTCCCCATTTTTCATTTCTCCACTTGTTTGGTGTTTGAGTTGGTTCTGCTTTTTTATTTGGACTCTGTTAGGGGGGAGATGTCAAATGGTGAAACCCTTTCCTAAAGCTGCATTTTGGTTTTGGGACCACCAGTGCCAGAGCTTGTCCTTGCTGAATTCCAGATGGAACTTCCCAGAGGTGAATTATTTTACAGGTTGATACTGGGATTCCAATCCTGTGGGAATTATTGAATATGATTCCAGTCCTGTGGGAATTATTTTGCAGGTTCATACTGGGATTCCAATCCTGTATGAATTACTGAATGGAATCCCAGTCCTGTGGAAATTATTGAGTGGGATTCCAATCCTGTATGAATTATTGAATGGGATCCCAGTCCTGTGGGAATTATTAAATGGGATTCCAGTCCTATGGGAATTATTAACTGGGATTCCAGTCCTGTGGGAATTTCAGAGGCAGCAGCTGAGTGTGGCACTCCCTCCAGCCCACTGGAGGTCCCAGTTTTAATATCCTGGATGTGCATTGCACAAAAGGTTTTTGGGAATTGTAGTTGAAAAATTCATTTGTACCAAACACCTTCCATTGGTACCTGGAATAAATTTCTATTCCAGGCACTTGGAACAGATTTTTAAAATAAACCAGGTGACCCCATAGAATTAGTGTGTATTTTTGAAAATAGTGAGGGATGTGTTGTTAGATTTATAGATGTGGATTTATTCACCTTAAAATATTCTTGTGTATCCTGAGGTTACATTGTACAAGGGATGGAGGGACAGGACCCAGGGAATGGCTCCCAGTGCCAGAGGACAGGGATGGATGGGATGTTGGCAATTGGGAATTCCTGGCTGGGCTGGAATTCCCAGATTTGCTGTGGCTGCTCCTGGATCCCTGGCAGTGCCCAAGGCCAGGTTGGACATTGGGACAGTGGGAGGTGTCCCTGCCATGGCAGGGCTGGCTCTGGATGAGTTTAAATCCCTTCCAACCCAAACCATTCCAGGATTCCATAATTACGATTTTTATGTGTTCTTGCAAATCCACTGGCAAATTCCAAATGTGTTTCTGTGAACAGGAGCTGTGTGTTCAGTTGCTTCACTCTGATTTTTCTGAATTAAATTCAGGAGCATCTCTCAGGGATTCCTGTTTTGGGAATTTCTCTGGGATCCTCACACAGGGCCTGGCAAACAGTTAAACCCAGGGCTCTGCAGGCACCACATGTTGGGATAATTCTGGCACTGGGCACTATTTGCATTTTCTAAAACAATTCCACCATTGCTCTGGACCACTCATCAAATTTCTAGAGCATGACTAAAGGGTTTATTCTTAGCAAATGTTGTATAGACAGATAGAAAAGACCATTTTGAGGGCTTTTTTTGAAGTTTACATTAGTCCAATGCCTCTGTATTTTAAAACACGTGGGAGTTACTCTGTTGTGATGTGTGAGGTTGCAGGGTTGGGGTTAAGGTCAGGAGGTGCAGGGGTGTCCAGCTTCATTCCATGCATGTTTTCCATGGCAGGATCAAGATATCCCCTTGGGTTAAAATTATTTAATGTATTTTTGCCTCATTATAATGGATTATTATTTAAAGCATTTTAATTTCATTAGCATCCATTATTATTTAATGCATTATAATTCCAACAGGAAAGTTGCTTGTTAAGTTTTAAAATAATAGTTACATTTAAGTTTGAAATCTCTTAGGTCATTTATCTTCTCGTAAATATATTTATTTGAGCTCAGAACCCTGGACCTTTGCAGTTGCTCCAAACATGAATTTAAGTGACCTGGGCTATTGGAAGGTGTCCATGCCCATGGCAGGGATTTGGAATTTGGGCTTTAAGATCCCTTCCAACCCAAACCAGTCTGGGATTCTATGGCTGCATCAGCCTGGAACCAAAAGGGACTGGTCCTTTTATTTAAATCTTATTATTTCCATGCATTTTTTTGTTTGTTTTTACAAAGTTCCTGACACAGGAATCCGTGCTTGGCAAACAGTAAGAGCAGAGTTTTTTGCAG